TATCATCCTGAACTTTGATGAAAGCTCTGCCTTGGACTCTGATTTAATTCTGGATGATATTTGGAATGCTGACACTGAAATAACAAAAATAATGTATATTTTAGCAAATTAAGGAATTAATAACATTGAAAAGGATACTGCTGTATTATATACTTTCATCTTCTGACTGAACAACAATGGCCTTCAAAATATGAGAGATCTTTTCTATTTGCTGTGATGTCCACTTATGGAATTTCACTTATGGAATTCTGTGATAAATGAGGGCCACTTATGGAATTCCATTATACCAGGGGTTTCAAACTCAAGGTCCAGGGGCAAGGTCCAGCCCACGGGGTGCTTAGATCTGGGCCCACGGGGTTGCACTGTAAACAGTGAAGGATGACCCTACACTGCTTCTGCCAACAAAAATAGAGCTATGGAGGGCCCTCCTGAGCTCCGTTTTTGCTGGCAGAGAGTTGCAGGAGGCCACTACGGCCAAAAAGGGATCTCAGGAGCCCATTTTTGCTGGTAGAATGCTTGGGCCACCACAGGCATCCCAATATGAGTGACGTTGAGCTGGCCACACCCACCCTGGCCATGCCCCCCTCCGAGATCAAACACAACCTTGATGTGGCCCTCAATGAAATTGAGTTTGACACTTCTGTACTATATGGTTCATTCACACATGTTGCTTATTATGGAACAAAGATGACCTACTAACCATTTGAAAAATGCATATTATCACAATATTACCTCCAGCTCATCTCTAGTTGTTGCTGAATCAGTCTGAAATTGGCTTCAGGTGTTCTGGTATGAAAGTGACACAAAACGTCTCAAGCAGACAAGTGACAAAAGGAGCCTCATGAAGACATGGTCGGGGTCAGCAACTTGCTGATTCCCAAGTGACCAGAACATTTGCTGCCCCTTCCCTTTCCACCCAATTTATCATATTTGTATAGAATATAAATGTGACACTGGGCAGTGTACAATACTTAAAACAACCCAGTTCCTGGACATTGCACCTCAATGGTTATTTCATCAATGTCTTTATACGTTTAATTTCCTGGCAACAACTCTTGGGATTAAGATAAACATAATGCTTCTAATGCTAATAATTAGAAATGCACAAAATGCCTGAACAAAATGATAGTGGAATGAATGCCCTATAACAAAGAACCAATGCTTGGATCACACACTTTCAACAGTCTCTCTCCTTAGTTCACTCTACTTCTGCAATGATGAACCACTATTTTCCAACCTTCTCAACTACTCTCAAGAGGACAAACTGAAACCCTGAGAAACCAGGTTTATAGGGTCAGGGTTTTATGGTTTCTTAGTAGCCTGCTGCAGTCTGGTGATAAAGAGATAAGATTCAGCTTCCAATGCGGTTGGTTTTGGGGCAGAGAAGGGGGAGTGCACCTCCTCATTACCAGAGTGGGATGGGTGAGTGACCGGTCTATGAAATTAAGGATATCTTGGCCTTCATTTCAAAAAGCACTATTCTCAATCCCTCCCCCCACTATAAATATCACAAACTTTATTTAGAGTATACTTGCAAGTATCATTCAGGGATACCTTTTATTGTTTTGTAAACAAATATATTAAATAAAGCCTAAGGCTCTTTGGGGTTATAAAGTGTAATTATGTTTTGCTTAGCCTATGCAATATGCAGGCATTTTATGCCTACCTGAACTAAGCCACTCATGGATTCACAACTAGCAGAAACTTCGCTGACAATGAGCCACAGGAATATATAGATACAAGAAAGAAAGAAGCAATGAAGACCGACAATAAAACAGGGAAGCAAAGGTGTTCTGGTCCAGACAGATACTTAACGCCTTGCTACTCGGAAGAAACTCACGCAAGCCCTTTCTGCTTCTTTGGCAGAACGGAGAAAGGGAATGTATGTCAATGGGAACAAATAAAGACTCTGGGAAAGGATGCAATGGGCGTCGTCAGCTCTCGGCTCAGAGGCAATTTTAGAACCCGGCTTACCGATCATAAAAAGGGTGCTCCTCCCCAAAATCCTTGAGGTGCTTCTTTTGCTTTTTGCTTAAGTGGCTGATCAGTTGCTGGCGCTGCTGGCGAGCTTTCCTCTTCCCCATCTCTGCAAACTTCCTACTCCGGCTCCCACGTGGTTCCCTTTCTCCAGCATTTTACGGCCCTAACCACGCAGTCACGTCCTCTTGCGACAGACTCCTCCCGAAATTTGGCTGCCGTAGAACTCATGCTTGCTGGGGAATTCTGGGAGTTGAAGTCCACGCGTTTTTAAAAGTCATTAAAGTTGAAAAACACCGTCTGTCCACCCACGACCACGATAGTGGGCGAAGTTTCATTTGGGTCTTTCTCCAATAAGAATTGGGTTTTCTTTTCAAAATGCTGTCTTTTATTAAACCCTTTTAATAACCTGTAATATGAATGGCATATGCACACATATAGAAAAGCATGCATAGGGTTGTGTTGTAAGTGGGTCTCTGGTTCGACCCAACAGAGCTCTGAGGCTAAAACGTTGAACATTTCAGGGAATGCTGGCTATCTTATTACGAAGCTATAGATGTTCTGTGTGGGCAGAATATATTAATTATTGATAGGTGTTTGTGAGGAATGAGCTTTCGCAAGAAGCTATCTAGAAGCTAATGCACTTTTGGAATAGTGAGTGCTATCTTATATGTTATGTATGGTATTATATGCTATTTTATATGACATTATTATGGCTGAAACATGATTGTTGATATCAGTGGTGAGTTTCAAAAAAATTTCGAACCTACTCTGTGGGTGTGGCCTCCTTTGTGGGAGTGGCTTGCTGGCCATGTGACCTGGTGGGTGGGGCTTGCCGGCCATGTGTTTTCTTTCTTTCTTTCTTTCTTTCTTTCTTTCTTTCTCTCTCTCTCTCTCTCTC